AGTAACATTTGCTTCAAGCCCTTAAAAACAACACTGCAACGCACCTAGACAAAACTCGCACCTCGTGTTTGTTGGCTTAACCCTGTTTGCCTCATGCTAACCACCCCAGAGGCATCATTTTATATAGGGCTGTTGATTTTAGAACCACATTCCTCTGCCATGTAATTATTGGAAAACACAGGAGGTTTCTTTTTCAAAATCACTTTCTTTCACATAGCAACCCCCACTTCAACACATACAAATCTTTGAGTGTCGTGGTGTAAGTAATTGAAGTGTCGGTTCCCTGTTAGCCTCCAGCGACAGGCGGCCGAGGTGGGAGGGGCGGGAAGTCAATTAGCAGAAGAGGGAGCATGGCAAATACAGTACATGCATTAATATCAAGGCAGCTCTGGCTTTTTTCGTCCCTTCCCATCTATTTTTGGCATCTCACTTCAGAAATTGATATCGTGATGCCCTCTAGAGACACACAGGAGTACAATTTATGGATGTTCCGCAAAGATTAACTTCTACTCAAGGAATGAGAACAAAAGCAGAAAAATCCTGGTCCTCTGAATGAGAAGCTGTACAAATGTGGTGTTTTTCATTTTACCCAAATCATGTGACCTCACAAATTGTGCCGTGGCTTCATGTGTGGTGCGTTAACGTAATTTCTGAATCACCAGGCCTGAAAAGTGTCTCTGTGAATCTGCTCTATGCCACAGCAACGTGGACCTGACCTCTGTTTGGCCCCCTCTCCGAGATTTAGAGTGGAGAATGCTACAGGATGGAAGCCTATTTAGAAATTCTAATCAGCATGAAATAACCATCTGTCCCTTGTCAGTTAGAGAAATGAAGAGAAGAGAGAGAGAAATTTAAAAAAGAGTTTGTACTTCTGTGGTCTTCAGAGTTTCCATCGCTCTGCACAGATCTGAGTGCATATTCTGAGGCCTGTTCCTGAGCATGTGTTCCTGGCTGGCTTCTTCTTCTGAGCAAACACACACAGGCTCACACACACACCTCTGCTGGATATCACTGCTCTCTCTAAGAAAACCATCTGTCAATGTCCCCCTAATTCTACCTAATAGTTTCCAAAAGACGGAGGCTGAGCCCACCAAACACGACGAGCCCCCCCACCAAAAGGTTCGAACAGGCAACTTCAAAAATCTGTTTCGCTTCTCCGTCTTCCGCTGTAAAATTCACATTTTAATGCAACCACTGCTTCATTAGTGTGGCAGACATGATCTAATCACTTATATTACATAACAAGTAATAACTTTTTTTAGAGGCAACAACTAATTTGTGGGAATTTCCTCCGGGTGATGACATGGTCGGATGTATAACGAGAAACTGCAGTGAATAGTTATTTGGTGGATTGATTTAATTACAAAGAAAACTCTGCTCCTTGTGCAAAAAGAAAAATACAAAATCGCTCATTCGCCCATCAAATTTCCAATTAAAATATTCAGCACCCCACCCAAACACTGCAGCAGAGCAGGAACACTCGGCTCTGCTTCCAACCACAGCTCACCTGCAATTCTGACAAATCAGCTCAAATGGCAAGTCAAACAGCCTCTCTGTGACCCTGCTTTTTTATTCTATGAATGCATAACAGTGTGCCTGGTGCAAAACTGGGAGCAGACCTGGCTTGGTTGGGCCCATTAGCGATGGATGGTGTCTGGCCCTGGGCTCGCAGCGTCCCAGAGCACCTCTCTGGACTTCCTGCGGCCAAATGAGGGAAAGGAAGGGCTGGAGAATAGAGCGAGCTTGGCCCTGTAGCCAAACAGGACCAAGATGGCTGCAGGCACAGCCAAGAGTAGAGTGCTACTATGCCACCATAAATTATCATCTACACTCAGGATGTCACCTTGTCATTGACTCCACAAGAGGCCTTTTCATCTTACACAGTGACTTTGGCAGACTCTATTATGGCATGATATAGCGTCTAACATTTTTAAGTCAACATGAAAGTATTTACATTATTGCCATGCCAGCAGAAAAGCCAATACTCCATCACAAACCCAGAACCAGAATAGTTCTTATCCATCTGTTTCCTCATTGTGTCCTGTTGCTCAAACTCTGGGGCAGATAAATCACAGCTTTTTCCATCATGTCTCCCTCAATACAAACAGACACGCTCCTTTACGAGGCTGCCCTCTCCGACTACCAGAGCGGGGATTTGTAAACCAATGTCTCGAGGCAGGGTTCATAGTGAGGGAGGCGGCAGATGGGCGTGTGTGTGCATGGCTTGTGTCTGGAGACAGTGTGCGAGCTTGCCAAGAGCACAGACAGTAATCTTGATGTGATACTTGTCAGACATTTAGTGAGAGCCGCGAAAAGTCAAACCGGCCTGTTAGAGAAGACGTTCTGGAGATGCAGGGTTAAGCTTTAAAAACAAGACTGCAAAGAGTGAGAGCAGAAGCTTCCAAAAATCTTAAAGTGGTGAAATTTGGCTACCAGGCACATCGTTTCTCAAAGACTGACAGACTCAGAGGAGGTGTGAGAAATTATTATTGATTTGGCTCTACATATGCCCACCTCATCGCTGCCCCGCAGAGGATCATGACCTCAGACCAGCCCTCCAATCCAAACACCCTTAGGGCCTCACGCAGGCTTTAGTAACACCTATGGGAGTCTTCGACCTGCCACTTAAACACACTTCCCCAGTCTAAATACTTGAATCTCACTGCCACGGGGCAGTGGCACGCCTCAGGGCTTACTTCACAGTCCGCCGCCATTTATTCGCCATGTGAGAAAAGAAAAGCTACCGGCAAGGGGTGGGTGCATTTTTAGAACATGCTTTAATATACACAGGAGAGGCATTTTAAAGGCTCTCCTGCTACTTTGAGGATATTTTGGAACCAGTTCTATAAGCCAAACAAGCTGTAAAGAGATTCTTGTAACATGAAATTTGGGACATCTGGGACTAACTTTTTCGGCCATGTCCGGATGTGTGATCAGGTATAGCGTGTGACTTGCAATAGGCTTTAACAGCCCCTGTATCAACGCTAGGATTAGGTCATCACAGTTGGCCGGTGCAGCCGGGCCTTTTAGTCCAGAAATCAAGGATAGAAGTGACATATCAATCCCGCAGAGGAGAGATCTACGGGAAGCGGGTGTAACATTTCGGAAACAGCTACGGGACATTAGAAAGAGGGGGTGTGCAAAAGTATGAGAGAGAGTTTACGGGATGTTGTCCTCTAAGGTGTAAGCGTGTGAGTGTCATGGACAGGTGAGAAGCCAACATAAGGTGTTGGGACAGGATGCACTGTGAGGGTTCATGGCCTGGTCTGATGTTAAAATGACCTCTGGCTCTGTCACTCTGAACAGATCTGGCACAGTACAACACCAAACATGATCTCAGACCAGCTCACAGGGCAATTACAACTTATTCGAAAAAATACACAGTGTTCTCCTCCTGTTATTTCTCTCTATGGCTATAATTTTATTTCATCATGGGAAAAGGTTAAAACGGGGACAGTGGTTTCTAATATGGTTTCATTTCCCTGCATGAACAAATTTTTATGACAAGCAAAATTGACCTGAATTAAGTTCCACCTATGTCTATTTATACTAACGGAGAAATCCTGTGAACGTTACCGCCAAGGAAACATACCCACATGTTAGAGAACACATTCCTGCTAAAAACGCATGACTAACACAGCATGTGTCTAAAACCTTTGTACAGCCATGAAATTAATATATATGCTAAATATCAAATAAAAATCCTGTTATCATAGAAAACTATAATCCACTGCAAAGGTAATCCATTTACATTAACAATAATTGCCGCAGAAATTGCTATAATTTTACTTGGCAGGCTGTCAGAGTTCGCCTGGATGACTTTTACAGAGGATGTCTTGAGGTAAAGGCAAACACGGCCAAATAACATTCTTGGATGACTTCGCTGCAGCGGTGTGCCAATGACTTGAGCTGTTACCATTCACTGTTTAGACTTGTTTGAGAAAATACGTTTTTTTTTCACAGAGAAGTCCACAAAACATGATTTTGTTGAGCGTAGGCCTGTTTCCCATAGAGGAACGGTAAATAGAAGAGGCTGATGGGAAATGAAAGGGAAGCACAGGCCTGTGTTTTAAGAGATGTTGCCAAAGTTGCCCGCTCGACCGCTATATGTGACCAGAACTCCTCACCTGAATAAGCACGAATACACCCGTGTATGTTCTGGCAACACTATCACTGACCATTATGACACTCAACCGTCATCTTTAAATCGCTCAATTTCTACCTCCCTCACTCTGTGCTTGTGTGTAGGTGTGTAATTACAATTTGTTGGCCGGACTTTGTGTTGCTGTGTTCACATACTGAATTTGGGTTGTGAAAAGGTCATGACTCTATTCTAATTTCTATGTATTCCCTTAACTAAGAATGGGATGTTTATATCAAATACAGTGAATGACAGTTGCATTGATGTGTGTTTAACATGGTTCAGTCCAAGTCCCATTCTCTCATTTCAGTCATTTGCTGTCCAGATGGACATTCTCCAGAGTTTGCCTGTCACATTTGAAAGCGTTCAGGTAAGGGGTGGAGTGGCAGGAGGGAGGACATAATGTATAAATTCCACTGTGTCAGCCTGAATCACAAAAATCTCTCGGATCTCACCTTTCCAATTTGACATCTTTGTCTGTTTTCTACATATTTGGCCCCGCTTCATCCTGAAATATTTGTATTTTTCTTTGTTTGTTTTTTTCAGTTTTGTGTCTGTCATCAAACATTATGTGGACTGGTCTCACAGGAGAAACTCGGGAGAATGTCCTCAGATGTACCGAGGAGATGGATTCATAGGAAGAGGAAGAGAAGAGGGTAAGAAAAAGAGCTAAAGAGAGAGCTGGCTCCTTTAATAATGCCTACTGAGTTTATGTAAACCTGTTAAAGATTATTTCTATAGGTTTTTGATTTAGAAGAATAAACTCTATTAATCATTTGGGTTCTGCAAAGTTAGATCTTCAGTAGTTCCAAACACATTGAAAGCACATAAGTGATGACAGATAGATGGAGAGACTTACGCAGACACTCGTTGGCCTCGCGGGCGTTGGCCCTCTGCCACGGCCGGTCGTAGTGAAAGGGTTTGCAGCGGTCACATTCAGGTCCTTCTGTGTTGTGTTTGCAGTCACACACCAGTTTGCCTTCCTTGTCTTTCAGACAACGTGAGGCATGTCCATTGCATTTACATCTCCCGCCCACCTGGAAGTCTCCCACTGCATAGAAATAAGTTGGCAGTGTCGATGTCACGGCCATGGGGTCGTCGTCCCTCCCTCCACTGTTGCTGCCGGCCCCCAGCGCCAGCTCCCGGGGAAGCTGGGGCCGGTTGAAGACCACACGGATATCTGTGACTGTCACCCAGTCCTGGAGCACCGGGCTGTTGTCAAAGTCTTTACCAGAGGGCCGTCCATCCAAAGTGCTGAAAGCAATGAGTCCACCAGAGAGAGGATAGAGGTCAGTGTGGCCATCTGTGCATAGAGCCTCCTGCTCGTTCTGCTTGGTAATGGTTGCTTTGTTGGGCCGATTGTACATACGCCGGCACTGAGAGGAGTAGAACTGGTAGGGCATCCAGGTCTTGCCATAGTCCATGCTCTTGTATATGGCCAAGGACTCAGGTCGTGGCGAACAGAACTGCAGGCTGACGTAGGTGATTTCAAACTTTTTCCCCAACGAAAGGGTGAGAGTCACATTGTAAGGAGAGGTGTTCAGATTCTCTGACTGCCAGCAGGTGAGGTTGTGGGCTGAGTTGAGGTCGGTGAGGTAGGAGGCCGGGTGGGCACGGCGAGGGTCGGCCGCATCGCAAATTTGACACGTGCGCACAGAGGGTCGATCGTCCCCGCGCTCCACCACGCTACAGGAACGCGATGGAGGCCGACCGCAGACGCTGGACACCATCACCTCTTTACCAAAGGCGGCGTTGATAAACTCGGGGATACAGCGGCGGGCTGCACCTGTGTCGTCGTAGCAAGGGTCTGGAGGGTTTTGCTGCCCGGCGAAGGGATTGGTTGCACTGTGAGTGGAGAATGTGCTGGCCAGGAGGTAGAGGCCCAACAGGCACCTCCAGGGTTCCCTCATCCTGTTTGTGAACTTGCGTCTATGTTTTTGTACGTATGAGTTCTTATATGTATGTATGTGTGTGCAAACCCAAGAGTCTATGTGTGCATGTGAGTAAATGCTGTTTTGCAGATGCGTCTGTGTGTGTGTGACTTTCTCCCGACAGTATGTGTGCAATTGTGAATCAGTGGAAGAAGAGTGTCCGAGCTCAGCGACCCTTCACTTCAGACTGACCAGAGCTCTTCCTGCAAGAGACAGAAATAAACAGAAAGGTCAATGTCACAGACATATTTTTACCATAATAGGATATAAAATAGAAATATATAAAAAATGTCTGTGTACCCTCAAAACCAAATTATATTTGCCCTTATAAAGAAAATTAATTGGTTCCTTTGTACTCGATAATAAAGAGAGTGTTTTCATTGACTATAAGCCTTCCGAAGGATAAGACAGTTGGATCGGAGGCCTGAGAGAAAGGATGTGACCATTTAAAGAGAGACATTAGCAGCTGCACCCTGAATTTCAATGCAGGCCTCTCATTCAGGACTTCCATTCAGGTCAAAACTGGCCGAGCCTTGTGGTCATGCTTGAGCTGCAGAAGCAGAAGTCACCCTATAATCCCCAGTGATGCAGTGGAGCAGTGGACCGTGTGTGACCCTGTCAAACCTCTGCTCTAAGAGCTGGTCCTAGAAAAAAAAGAAACCATTTTATAGCTGAGGATATAGTTTTGAGCTCTTATTGATTTCTGTAGGAATCGGACAGGAAATCAACTATTGAAGCTCCATAGTCACACAGCTCTGACCCGTTGTATCCAGTCGCTGAACCAGAAAAGTTGCAAGAAGTGATAGCTTAGCTAGAGGATTATACTCTGTATTAAAAGAACTGAGCCTATGAGACTCCATTCAAGCTTTTTTAAATCTCTAGGTCGAGATAGGTACCTGGATGACATCATTGATATGCTCACAGCAAGACGAGGGGCCTCTCGCTCCAAAAGAGAGAAAGACTGAGGGGCGCGGCAAGAGAATGCTTCGGGGCAAAGAAAAAAACTGAGAAAGAGATGTGGACGGCTTGAGGCTTTTCCTTCAGTAATCCCCTTTTTACATCCCTTGGTGTCAAATGAGCCCCCATTTAAAAACAGACAGCTGTGGGCTTCAGAAGGTACCCCAACCCTCTCTGCGAGGTATTTATTAAATGACAATGAATCACACCCATCTCCTCCCTACCCTCTCTCTCCTCCTCATACCGCAGCATCCCTCTTCATCTTGGTAGAACAAAAGGCTGCCTCTGTATCCACTTCAGTCGAGCAGGGCAGGCAGACAGACAGATTTAAGGGGAGTCAGAAAAACAAAAGTTTCGTTCTTTTCTTGTGTGAGGGGTCCAAAGCTAGCAAATCCTCAGAAAAGAGCGCAGTGGTCTGGTAAATAGGAGCACTCTGTGCTCAAGTGCTTAAACCCAGCCATTTGGCCTCTCCTCAAGAGCAGATAGGGCACTAAAGGCAAAGAGTGTGAGGGAATTATACCGAGCACAAAGACAGTGAGGAAGCTGTATATTCAACTGCCTCTTAGAAATTCTCAGAGGTGGTAAGTAACAAAAAACTTTTTACTTTAACTCCCTCTATTTTAACACAAAAATCTGTATTTTCTACTTCTAACAATACAGCAGGCTTTCGTTTTCATGCATTTGAGGGAAATTGTGATTTTTTTATTTCATATTTATGTCACATGAGCTTGTACTTTTACTTGAGTATCTGTACTTGACAAAATAATATGTGCACTTTTTCCCCCTCTGGTAATTTCTATGAGCTACACATGAATAAAAACTATTTTCATACTTATTTTCGGCTTAATTTGAAATATACTTGGAATAAAAGACTAATAAAAGAATCCAATAAAACTTTCCCGTCGTGCCGAGCCGTGAAGTAGCCACTAAAAGAAATGTAAAGAACTGAGCATGGCATTTTTTTTTTTTTATTTAAACCCTGCCGTTACAAAATTTAACATATAAAAAATAGATTGCAGGGAATGGGCCAGCTCATAAATGATTGGAGTGAGAGTGGGCCTTGCCAGGACGGATAAGGACACTGATCAATGACATATGTCTGAGGACGAGGAGGTTAAAATGGGCACGCTGGTGGGAGTTCATCAGCCAAGGCACTCCATCAAAAGGCTGGCCTTGGTAAATCTGGCGGGCCCGACACCCACTGAGACACACGGAGAGGCGGCTGATAGAATTAGCAACTCATTAGCATCCCGGCCCAGCTTCTATCAGCAGCATGTTCATCTGAAAAAAGAGACAGGGGGAAGCTCTGAAAGTGACATGGGCTGGTGGTGGAGAGGAGCAGGAAGAAGGGATTCAAACTATGACAGGTGAGGGACGAGAGAGAAAGAAAACAGATGGAAAGAGGGAATTTTGATGGATGTGTTGTTGAGGGAGTGAGATCACGTTGCAAAGTGACAAGAAGAAGCAAGAAGGAGACGAGGGACAGAAAACAGTGAGGGTCGCGACAGTGATTAAGCAGGGATGACTCACGGGAGGGCGAGCGAGGACAGAGATGAATGGGAGCAGTAGGAGAGAGAGCGAAAGTGACAGAGATGGAGGGAGGAGGTTGAGGGAAGGACACAAAAATGAGAGAGGGAGAGATGGAGGGAGAAACAGAGAGGAGACAGATTAAGGTGGCGGACTGCAGTGGTCTGTGTCTGGACTTCGGATGACTAAATATGGTGCGGTCCGCGTGCTGCCGGGCCTGCTGGGAGATTCTTCCAGGCTCTGGTGCTGTCAGGCGCATCTGGCAGATGAGCGCGTAGGTTAAACAGAGAGAGAACAGTGACAAGGCTGTTTAATTCCACTCCGTGTGCCCTCTGAAATAGATGTGTAGCTGTTTAACAATTCTCTGAGACAGTCCAACAACTCTGTGCAGCTGCGAGGAAACATGTTCTTTATTAAAACCTTATAAGACTTATTCTATATCGCCATTAAAAGTGCAAAATGTGAGCCAATCCCACAAAGTCTCTCTGAATCTATAAGCTTTGCCAGGATGTCAGCACAGCAGTGTAGCTGGCTGACCTTTGCAATGTGAAGAATCTGTTTCAGCATTAAAATTCTCTGTTTTAAGAATTGACAGTGTGTTTAACAAGCCACAAGTTCCCCTAAGTGGAGGCAGACATTGTCTTTCATTAAATGTGGTTGAAGTAGCAACAGCTGCAGGCCCATGACTCTGTAGAAGAAGACAGTGAGTACGGGCGCAGAAACACAGGGTTGTAGTTGCGACATTTTCAAGAATCTACCAAGGAGAGGTTGAAGCTTTTCAGAAAACAAATGTATTTATATTTCTGATGTAACCAAACATTTTATTTTTCCATAAACCATTGTTTGACATTTTGGGAAACACACTTTCTTGCCAAGAGTTAGATGAGAAGATCAATATAACTCTGTAATTATGAAGCTACGACGACCAGTTTGGCTTAGTACGAAGACTGGAAAAAGGAAAACAGCTCTAGTGTTACTCAAATGCAACAAATTCCACCAGTAACTAGAATGTACTCAGTAGAGCACATACCTCCACCAAGGCCCAACAGTCCGCTTAAATTCAATCGAGCTGCACCAAATTGCACACACTCATAAAGATCAATTCCCTAAGTATGCCCGATTTTCTTTCATTAAGATCCATGAATTATTCCCTGGAAAATCAAACAAACTGTCATAAAACGATTTTATATCACAATTTTAAAGAAAGTCATAAAAATTCCAGGATCCGCCCCCTGATTCTGATCCACACCAAAATTTTATAAATTTTTCCCAGACACATTTCGCATCCTTCCACTTCCAAGTTTCGCGCTAATCCCTTCAGATGTTTTTTGCGAATCTTGCTAACAAACAAACAAGCCAACCAACAAACTGGAGAGGAGCGAAAACATAACCTCACAGGCAAAGGTAATAAATCTTACAAATTAACACATTACATTTTGTTTTATTAATGTGAAAAAAACCAATATGTATAAAGAATAAAGATGAAAAGTTTTCATCAATTGAAGTTTTGCCAACCATCTTATTTATCACGCAGAGGTGAGTGGTATCAATCTTCATGGCACATCTTCAAGGAATGAAAACGATTAACTATTCCTTTAAGACGTTTAGCATTAAATCATTATACTAATCTGAGTTTTGATTCTCAATAATTTTATCCTTTGATCACTGATTCAGCCTTCAAAGTTTGATCTGACCCTGGCACACAAACCTACCGCCGTCTGCAACATAAAAGTATGTACAAAACTGTTCCTGAGCCTGCTGAGCCATTTCCAAGAGAATGTCAGCTCTGAGTGCACTGACAAATACAAACTGCATGGCCAATTCATCACTGCAACATTCCTCTGTGGATTAATGGCAAGGAAAATGTACTTGTGTGGACGTGCTACTGCAGTGTTAAATAATTTGTCCATTAGTATTATGGGCACAGTGTATGAATGGATGAAAAACTATGGGGCTTTTAGAGTGGAAGCCCCCCTGCATAAGAAGTTGCACTTGGCCACAAAGACAACTGAGGCCATTTGGCAATTGGAACAGATTCAATGGTTTTAATCAAGCAGTGACAGCCCAATTAGAGAAGGTAGATGATGGAGGGCAAAAGGAAGGCAAATTAGATTAAAAAGAGGTGGGTGAAGGAGAGAAAGAGAGTGAGAGGAAGACAGACAGAGAGAGAGAGAGAGGGGGAAAGACAGGAAGAGGAAGATGACAGGGTGGTCTGCTGGTTTCAGCGGAGACATTCCGGGGAACGTTTTTTCAGCTTCTCCCTGTCACCGGGAGATCATCTCATGTTGAGCTGTCTCTCTTTCAAGCGCGGGCGCCTCTGTCAGAGTTCACAGATTAGGAAAACAGAAGTTGCTGAGAGGCTTTATTTGGCTTGGGTGTAGAGGAGGGCGCCGGGGGAGGTGAGGATAGGAGAGGGACAGCTGAGCCACTTTGTATCCCAAGTGGGAGCCTTTCAAGCTGCTCCGGAGAGTTGGCGTGGTGGCCCCACTCCGGCTGGGAGTCAATGGAGGTCCTCTGGGTTGCTTCTCTCGGATGACAGCAAGCTGAGGCCCCAACTGGTGCCCTGCTGTCCCTTCAGCCTGCTGTACAGTAATCCCTGGTGGGGTTATTAGTGGCTGCCCAGAACCATGCAGGACTTTTTAATAGGCTAACAACAGGGCCACCTCCATTCTCATTAACATCAGTGAAAGATTCATTGTGTGAAAATAAAAGAACAGCG